CCAAAACATTGCTAATCCTTCTCCTGTCATCTTCTCAAGCCCTGGTGTGGAGTTTCAACTGCTTTGATAAAGCCATTTTGAGTATTAAATTACATGGGAGGGAAAACGTGGATTTCTTCCCACTTGGTACAGCAGAATCAGGAACATTTTAAAACCAGGTTGTTTTCCTCTTCTAGGAAAAAAAAAATAAAATCCGTGGTGGGGAGTGACTGTGGTCCCTACAGGTCTTTCCTCCCAAATGCCCAAAAGTAAAACCTGAGTGTTGAATTCCCACACAGGGGATGGTTTGGGTTGGAAAGGACCTTAAAGCTCATTTCATTCCAACCCTCTGCCATGGCAGGGACACCTTCCACTGTGCCAGGTTTACCAAAACCCCAATGTCCAGCCTGGCCTTGGGCACTGCCAGGGATCCAGGGGCAGCCACAGCTGCTCTGGGCTCTGCCAGGGCCTCCCCACCCTTACAAAGGTGAGGTGACAATTTTAAAACTCCCTCTGCAAGGAGATTTTTGGATGGTGTTTTAACAGCAGAGTCCCTCTCCCTGGGCATGGAATTTTGTGTCACACCCTCTCATGAGAGCCCAGAGCCATCCCAGTGTTCTCAGCTGCCTCCCCCCCTTTTTTTGGCTGGCTGATTGCTCTCTCCAGTTGTTCCAGCTGGGGATGCTGATGTTTAGCCAGTGGAACCCTGCAGGTTAAATGCTGCAAGGCAGCTCTTCAGGTAGAGGATGGGGCAGTGCAAGCCTGCTGGGGAATGAGCACCTGTGCCCCGTGCTGGCTTGTTGTTTTTGAACTTAGTGACACCAGCACTGCGGAACAGCAAGGTAAAATCAGATTTTCTGATGTGTGCAGGCTGTGAAGTACCTGGTGTTCCTGTGTGGGTGGGAGCATGGCAAAGATTCCAGTACAGACTCCAGCTCCTCCTCTGCTCTAACCCAGGCAGAGGCAAACCAGGAAATCCCACACCAAAATACCTGCTGACCTCAAAAAAATCAGTTTTGTGTGTGGCCACAGGGCTAGTGATGCTGAAGAGCCCAAGTGCAAAGCAGCTCTGGGGATGGTGGTGGTGGGAAAATATTGTGGTTTAAACTCAGCCAGCAGCTAAGCCTGAGCATTCTGGCCAGATGCAGTGAACAGCTTTAACCTTGCCCCCCCAAAAAGGGGACATTTTTCTTTTAAAGTCCCCAAACTTGCCATTTAGACTTTTTTTTTTTAAAGAAAATATTTAATTTAAAAATGTGTTTCTCTTAATGAAGCATTTTATTTCAAGATTGCCTTCTGTCCCTCCAATTCCCATCTGAATATTTTTTTCCTTTCAGGTTGCAAAGATCCCCATTTCTTGCAGTTTGGTCACTGAAGGAAAGAATTTTAATTTTTGAGCACACGCTGCTGCAGGAGACAACCAGGAAGGGGTGGCTGGGTTATTCTGTAACTACAATGCCCAGAAAACATAATTCTTGCTGGGGTTGGGGTTATTTGCAGACTCTTCACAGGAGAGCTGCATGTTCTCTGTCACATCAGATAGCCCTCAAGAGTTTTCTGTGATGGATTATCTCTGGCAATGTTTTCCAGAGAGTTCATTTATTGCAAGAAGACCAAAGGTAAAGTCATCCCTGTGCAAATGCCTACACCAGTGTTGTCTTCAAAAGTTTAATTCCAAAATAAGCATTGTGACAAGCCTTATTCTTGTCAGCAGTGGGGAAGTTTCCTTCACCACTGTGTTCTGGAGGAGCACAGCCCCAGCACTGACCTGGCAGCTCTGTGTGCTACCCTGGCTCTGGGGAGGAGTGGGGAAAAGAGGGACTGAAATTCTCAGGGGCTCTTCCTCTTCAAGCAAAACCTGCATCCATGCAATTTCCTGATCCCCAGGAGCTGGTGTTTGGGAATCACCAAGGAGCAGAAGCTGTTCAGTGCTCTCAGCTGATTTAATAGAAAAGCAGTTGTGTGACAGGCAGGAGACAGAGGCTTAGGGCTGGAGGTGGTGCAGACTAACCCTGGGATCCCAGGGGACACAGAGAGTCCCCACCAGACAGCACATAACACAACATGCCATTTCTGTCACCACTTCTGCCTGATTCAGCAAGGCCCAGGCTGACACAGATGAGCTGGGTTTAACTTCCAGCGCAAGACACGAAACCAAAACAGCAACGAAATTTCTACAACCAGCACCAAACTGCTGGGGGAAGGGTTCAGAGCGCTCCTGAAGATAAGTACGTATTAAAACAAACAATAAATTGCTTATCTCCTCTTTTATACCCCAGTCACCTCCCCTTGCAGAGCAATCAGGTGCTGGGCACAGCGAGGTGTGGGGCAGGACCCAATCGCGTCCCTCCCGCACTCGCAGGTGTCCCCTGCCACCAGCACATATTAACTGGGGCTGAGCTCAGCTCAGACACTTGCCTGACGGGCTGCAGGGGTGAGTAGTGGCTCATCTGTTCCCTCCCTGGGAAATGGGGACCCTCAGTGTCGTGGGGAGACTGGGAATTTGGCTCCCCATGCTGTGCAAAGGCTGATCTCACCTGCGGGGCAGCTGCGCCTGCAGCAAGTCCTGGATAAATCAGGCAAGCAGGGAGGATTTGGCTTCACACTGCGAGGTCAGTGGGGTGGTGGAGAGAGTCTTCTGGAGAGCTTGTACAGCTCCATCCTTGGAGGTTTTCAAGGTCTATGGAGGGCAAAGCTCTGAGCAGCCTGGGCTGAATTTATGTGCCCCAGTTTAAGCAGGAGGCTGGACTGGGACCTCGCGGGCTCCCTGCCAGCCTGGGTCACTCCATCATTCTGTCAAACTGATATTGTATTTGTGTTGCTCAATGGCAGCAATGCTATTTCTTCAGAATGAGGCAAGAAAAAGGCATTTTGGTTCTAATGGAGCGAGCTTGCATGTCCCTCTTTCTGCCTTGCTGATCTCATCTAAGTTTTCCCTCACTTTACTTAATGAGCATCTTGATTTTCTCCCCCTTGAAGTTATCAGAGCAGTCTGATAACCTGATAAGTGCAATCTCCTATCTGCAGAGTGCTCTGTAAACCTCAGCCTGTGTTCCTTGTCATATATTTTCATTGAGTGGCAGCAGCTGGGTGTTATCATTCCTGGTCTCTTGGCCTGCTTCCCAGTTCCAGTGGAGATTTCCATTTATCCTTTGCCCAGTCTTGTGCCCTCTCAAGACTCTCCATTCAGCAGCAAGTAACGGGGCTGTGGCAGGACACCTGCAGTGCCTCAGGTGGGTTTGGTGGCTGACCAGATCACACCTGAGCCTTCAGCCAGGCGTTGGGAGGAGATTTGGGACACAGGTAAAGAGTTTTGGTAATTCAGAGAGGATGTGTCTTCGCTTTGTGATCTCAAACTGCACTGGAGGCACTGTGGGGAGATGTTTGCACCGAACACTGCTCCTCTCAGCCACCCCTGGCTGCAGGCCATGGCTGTCCTTTCTCCTCACACCCCACCCAGCCTGTGCTGGTGGATGTCACTGAGGCTGGCAGCAAGGGACCAACTCAACCTGTGCTGTGTCAAGGCCTCCAAAAATCCTGGATTCTCCCCATCCTTTGGTGCCATTTCAGGCCATCTGCTGTCTCATTTTGGAGGTTCTGCACTTCAGGCAGTTTTCAAAGTTACCTTCAGAGCCACTGTGGAGTGGCTTTTATTAATGTAAATGTAAATATTAATGTAAATTATTATGAATGTAAATATGATTCCAGACTCTGAGCACAGAAATGCAGTGATTTGAGAGCATTTTGTAATGGAAGGAGGACATTCATGCCATTCCTGCAGCACCAGGAATTACCCAGCCCTTGAGGAGACACACGAGGCATTCTCCAGCAGAGTGGAGATGTTGATTAGTCAAAGGCCATCCCTGGCTTCTTTCTTCCCTGGGTGTCTAGAAAATGTGTCTGCATTCACTTTGGGTGAGAGAACAAATGAAAACCCCATTCTTGACTTGTTTTTGCATCAGATGTCAGAGAAACTGAACACAGTGAGGAGAATGAAACCTTATTTTAGAAGGTGGGAGCCAGTAATGCTCTTTCTTCCATGAAGCCCTCCTGATCCAGGGATGGAGGGGAGAGAGGGCTTGTGTGGTGAGGCCTTGCAGCCCCAATAATTTCACCCTCCTGCCTTGTCCCTTTCCACCCCACCACAATTATGGTAGAGATGGGCATCACCAGGAAAAGGGAGGAAAAAAAATATACTCATAAAATGTATTTTGGCAGCTGTTGATTTTTTTTTTTGGGCTAGGGTTGGGATTGGAAGTGCTTGAGATGGTATTTTATGTTTGGACTTAGATGTTTACTATTTTTTATTTACATTATAGTCTTATAATCTGTGAGTTCTACAGTATTTCACCAATAAGTTACAAAATGGTTCTGTATCTATCTCTACAAGGTCTTTTAAAGAAAAACTATTTAATTAAGAAATGACACAAATTATTTTTATTTTTAATCTAATAACTAATTACTTATGTCTTGCAATGTGGACTTTTTTGTCTAATTACAAAATACTACTTAAACTTATGAAGAAGGTGAAGAAGAAAGATTAGATACTGCTCTAAAATTTCTATCTCTAAAGAAAATCTTCTATATATATTATAAAACTATATTCTATAAACTATATTCTATAAACTATATTCTATAAACTCTATATTCTAAAACTTTAAATACCAAGATTTCTACTATGTGATATTACACATTTTATTCAAACTACACATTCATAATCTTAATGCTATTATTCAATTTTGGAAGTTTTCTCTATGGCTTCAGGTTAAACGTTAAGAAAGATTAGATACTGCTCTAAAATTTCTATCTCTAAAGAAAATCTTCTATATATATTATAAAACTTTAGATTATAAAACTTATTCTATAAACTATATTCTATAAACTCTATATTCTAAAACTTTAAATACCAAGATTTCTACTATGTGATATTACACATTTTATTCAAACTACACATTCATAATCTTAATGCTATTATTCAATTTTGGAAGTTTTCTCTATAGCTTCAGGTTAAACGTGTTCTCTTGAGAGTCTGTGTCTTTCAACACAAAAACATCTAAAATTCCCAATATCTGGAATTCTAACAGGCAGCATTTTGTGTGGTAACTGCTGAGCTCATTGTGAAAGCGTGCTGACATTTCTGCTACACTGTGGATTATCTTTTCTTTACCCACAGGTGACTTTTGCTCCTTCCCAGCTAATTAGATAGGTAAATACAGATTTGCTTGGGAGATATACTCAAGGCCGACACAAATCCTGGCTTGCAAGGAAATGAACCATTTTTCCCCTTTAATCCCTGCCATTGAGCAGCAGTGGTGGGGAAGAGCACTGGGAGGCAAAGTTTGCTGGGGAAGCTTTTGCTGGCTGCAGGATCCAAGGCATTTTGGGGGGACTGCCCTGCACCCTCATGGTTTCCTGCTGCTTTCTGAGGCTGGGGGTGCTGTGTCTGGAGAAGAAAAGGTTTCTGAGGGGCTGGCGTGGCGCTGGACCAGAGTTCTCTGTCTGCTTTAGCTGTGGAGCCAGGTTGCAGCAGGAGGTTGTTGACCTCCATCTCTGGAGATGCTCTGGATAAGGAGGAGGTTCAGCCACACAGCACGGGCTGTTCCACCCCTCTGGTGTTGCTGGAGTTTCATTGTGGTGTGTTTCTGTGTTCCAGGGACAGCCCAGCCCTCAGGGACCAAACCCCAGCCCCATTCAGCGTGGGAGCCACCAGGGAATCACAGCGTGGACCTCGGGCTGTGCTGCCAGGCTGCTGCAGAGAAACTCCCACCAGGAGGGTGAAAGGAGCAGGCAAGCAGGAGGAGGATGGCAGAAATGGTAATTAAGGCTGCCCATGGGCTCATATGTCGAGCCACAAAGAATTCAGATCATCGGGACTTAGCCACAACAGCATGCTGGCCACTGGGAGCCCAGGGGCTGAGGGGGGACAGGGCGGTGGCTTTATGGCCTGGGGGGAGATGAAGCTCCCCAACCAAACTGGATTTCCCATGGCCACTGGATTTCCACATCTGGCCCTGCTGCAGGCAGTTCTCTGTGCTTGGAAATGAGACATTTCTTCTTTGGTTTGGTTCTGCCAGATGGCAAAATGATGTCTCTGATCTCAGTCTGAAGTTAAATGCAGAAGGAATGTCCAGCATCATGTCTTTGGCCATTTCTGCTGCAGCAAAGGTAAGGAAAGGGTTAGATTTGCTCTAATTGCAAAATGCACCACCACAGAGGTGTAGGGAGGCAGGGCAGACTAAGCAGCTTCCATCATCAGTCTAAGTGAGACACAAGTCTCCATCCATGACCCTGTGGAGTTTCAAGGTCCCTTTATTCACTAATGGATGAATCAAGGTAAATTCATTCCGTGAACAAGCCAAAAAAGGAACTTACAGATACCAAAACTCATGTGGTTTTTCTCCATGTGGTTATTTTCTTCAGCACACCCAGGTGGTGGATGGATTGCAGAGAGGATCAGAGCAGAGAGGTCACACCAAACCTGCATGTAACCCTTTTCTGGGTTTATTTGTTTCTGCTATTATTCAGTAGCAGATGCTGAAAAGAAACTTGAAGCCCAGACTCCTCCTTTTGTCTGAATATGCACCAGCAATACAGAGAGAACAGCACAGAAAATTGCCTTCCAGCAGAGCACTGATGCCATCAGAGCTTGTGTGCTTAATATCTGCTGCTGAACTCAACCTTTTCTAACTAGTTTAACCCTCTTCTCATTCAATTTTTTATCTGCTCTGCCTCTATAGTTGTTCCTGATAATTCCATTCTGCCTTATTATTTATTGCTCATTATTTGATGCAGTTTCTCCAACTCCCCCAGGATGTAGAGCCTGCTCTCAGCACCAGCCTCTTCTCTCATTTCCAGCCTGATGAATCCTCCTCTCTTTAAGCTGCTTTACTGTGGGAGTTGCTCAGTACCCTGAGCACCTTTGCTGTTTTATTTTTGTTGGTTCTTTTTTTCTCAATTTTAATACAATTGTATGCCAGAGCAGAGGTGACCTCTAAGTCCCACCATAACCATAAAAGCATTCTGCAATTATTTCTGGATGGACTTACCTGCAGGTTCTTCACTGCCAGGGTGAAAAAAGCTGTTCTCAACCAAATAATTAAATTAGGAGCATAAAATTTCCTAGTGGAGGCGATGGTTTTGAGATGAGGAAGAAGATGTACTGGAGAGGATGCCCAGATGATGTATGGGGAATAGCACACCACTCCAAAAGAGCAATTTGGTCATGGAATCATGGAACCATGCAATTGCTAAGGTTGGAAAAGGCTGTGAACCCACACCACCACGTTCTCCATGAGTCTGTGTCCTCAAGTGGCATCTCCACAGGAGTTTTGAACACTTCCAGGGATGGTGACTACACCACTTCACTGGGAATTCCATTCAAATGCTTTTACAACCCTTTCATGAAATTTTTTTCTTCATGTATAATCTATTTTTTTTCCTAAAGTATAATCTCCCCTGGGGCAACTTGAGTCCATTTCTTTTTGTCACACCACTTGCTCCCTGGGAGAAGGGACTGACACTCATCTCACTACAACATCCTCTCATCTGTTCATCTCTTTCCAATCTCCTTTCATCCCTACAACCTCCTTACCCACCTAAATCCACGTGGCTGCAATGCCAGCAGGATGTTCCAAGCAGCCTGGCCACCCAAATGCCATTTTTCCCCCTTCTGCAGCTTTTTTTCTCCCAGCTGTTTATGTGACCTCTATTTCCACCCCACAGGAGCTGAGTCAGAAGTGTCCCCTGGTGAATGGCAGGGCTGCAGGCAGTCAGGACAGCACCTGGACCCTTCCCAACTTGCCCAGTAAATGCACATGGACAGCCACAACGCCTGCCAGCAAGTCTCCACACTCCTGTGTTCCTTTGTAAGTAATTCCTCCGTGCTGCTTTCTTCAGGGTGCAGCTCAGCACCTTTTCCTGGAGGTTGTTGTTACACCAGGATGGTCATGGCCAGAAGCCAGCTGTTGTGTTAATGATGGTTTATTTTCCACATGGCAAAAGCACCTTAGTAGCTCCTCTCCCAGAAGACTTTTTTCACTCCCTTTTATTTTGCAGAAGGATGTGGCTGGCTCGGGTCACAGCTCTGTGTTTTCCAGAGCATCTCCTTGTTTGGGGCATCTTATTTTAGATGGCTGAGGGGCCTTCACAAAAATGGATTACCAGGGCCTGGGCTTTTGTTTCAGTAGCAGATGGCACCAGAGCAGAGAAAAGTGCTTGCTGTGAGCTGCTCTGCCCTCACAGCAGCAGGTTCCCTCCCAGGGTGACGTGACGGCCCAGACTAGTCCTGACAAGAGGTGCTTTAATGACCCTGCAAACCAGACACAGACAAGCTACTAAAGATAAGGCTGTCCCATAAATGTCACAGGAACTGCAGACATGTCCCTGCAGTGCAGAGATGTGAAACAGGGACCCAGCTCCAGCCAGTGGAGTAAAGCAGGAATCCAGCTCCAGGAACTGGAGCTGTGGGAGGTGCAGCACTGCTCTGCATGGTCATGCCTGACCACGTGCCAGGCAGGACAAGGCCAGGGCACAGCCACCAGCATGTGGGCAGCACAGGGCAGCCTCTGAGTCTGGTCCATGCAGGAGGGAAAAATGGAATGCAGAGCCCTGGAGCTGATCCAACAAGCTGTGCATCTCTCAGTGCAGCCCCTGCAGCTGGTGCCTGAGGAGAGAATCAGCTCTTTTCAGGCAAAATGATTTTTTTTTTTCCTCTCAATTATCATTCTGAGCAGAATAATTTTTTTTTAAACTATTTAGCATCAGGGTGCCATGGTGGTGCCAGTGGCTGGGCCCATCCCACCCCCAGACAGGAGATGGAGAGACATTCCCCAGCCCTGGGCATCAAACTCTTCTCTGGGAATGGAGTCTGGCTGTGGGGGCCCACACAGCACTGCTGGGGCAGGAGCTGAAACATATCCCACTGTGTAACAGGGAAAAAAATGCACTGGGACAGGTCACACCTCTGCAGCAGTGCGTGGAGGGAGAGGTGGTTTGGTTTCCCTGCTCTGGGTAAGCCACAGATGGCAGCCAATGGAACAAAAATCTCTGGACTTTCTGAGATTCCCAGGTGAAATCTGGTTGAGTTTTGGGGGTAGAAGCAGAGGGAGGAGACAGGATGTTATTTTAATTTAGAATATTAAATATTTAAATTTTTTTGAGAGATACAGAGGTAGACCAGTTCTGACATCCCTCGAGCTGGTTCTGACCCAACATAACCTCAGCAGGAATCCTTTGCTTTGCCAGGACTGGTTTTCCCCTGGACATCTCAAGGAATAGCAAGTCATGACTAAAAGCTGGAATCTTAGGGGAAAACCATCCTTGTCTCTGCTATCCTGAACTGACATCAGCACCTGCAGGACACAGTCCAAATGTGCAATGCAGTAACTCAGGTCACTATCCAGAGAGCCAGGCTCCAGTTAAACCTTACCTGAAGGAGCCCCACTGAAATCCCTGAGCATTTCAGTGGCTTTTGGAGCAGATGGGCAATGGCTGCAGCTGTGGGGGAAGCTCTTTTATTGTGGCATTGCCTCACATTTGGCAGCACTCAAAGGAGCCTGAGGTGTCTCTGCAAACACTTCCCCCAGAGGGAGAGGTAACAGCACATCCCATCATCTCTGGGCTAGGGATGCAGGGAGCCTGGAACCTCTTGGTAGCACAGACCTTCCCTGAAGCCCTGCACTCCTGCAGGGCAGGAGGAGTTTATATCACACTTGCAGAACCTGGAGGGAGGGGTGTGAGCTCCCTGAATCACCCCTGTGCCACTCGGGCTTCCTGCCAGCACACAGCCACTGCCTGGCTGTGACAGGGACAGCACAGCTCCAGGTCAGGGCTCCAGCGATGGTGGGAGGTGAGGGCTGAGCACTGAGGGAACCCCATGGCAAGGAGATGTCCTTGGCTTGTGACCAGGAGGTGGCCCAAACAAACACAGCCCTCGTCAGCCTGTGAGAGAGCTCCAGGGTGTGAGCTCCTGGCAAGGTGTCTTGGGCAAACTGGTCTGTTTCTGTTGCTGTTGCTGTGGGTTTTGGCTTCTGCTGGAGTCTGAGAGCGACTGGCCAGTCTGGGCAGCTGGATTTCACTGGTCACATAGCTGGGTTCAACTTGCAAAACATCCCCCAGAACCCTCTGAGGTTTAGGCTTCTCTCATGGCTTGGAGCCATCCTTGCAAGTTTGGCAGTCCTGGCCAGCAACACTTGGCCCAGAGGCAGCTGGAAATGTGGGGAGCAGAGAGGGGCTGGGCAGGATGGGGAAAAGATGAGGAGCCTCGTGCTGTGCTCTGCTTTTCTCACCCACAGCATAAAATCCTAAGGCTTGCCAACATCTTCTCACTCATTACAAATCTGACTTAGGGTTTTGCAGAGCAAGGCACTGTCAACCTGATTTTTTAAGTTTTTCTAAGCTTTCTGATGTTTACATTCTTGTAACAAAAGAATGTCTTTCTCACACACTTTATGTAAATAACTTATTATTTTTCATTCTTTTATGGAAAAAGAGAAATTTGATAGACTGTTGGTTTGTCCAGTGTCACTGGAGAGGTGGCACTGTCGCCCTCCAATCCACTTTTTGGAACCTGTAAGTCACTTTTGGAAACCTATAAATGTTGGAGCCAGAACTTAAAAGTACTCTTTTTACCTTGGGAGAGCTGCATGTTTGCATCATGTTATTTCATGTCCTATAGCGACAAGGCATTTCAGAACAACCCTGAAAATTAATTAGCTTACTTTTTATGTAAAAGACCTAATAACTCATGATGGAGAACTGTAACTAACTCCTGGTGCCACTAAGTCTTTTTCTCTTGGAGTTGAGGTGTCTTTTGGTGGCCTTGATAAAGTTGCTGAAACCTCATTTAGATTTTCTCTTGATTCATGTTGCACAACAATAGCTTTTATTTAACTTTATTTTTTCCTGCATTATTTCAGGAGAGAAGAAAAGAAGATCTTGCCCAATATCCTCAAGAAAATTGGCTGCACCCCAATGGTCCAAATCAACAAGATTGGGAAGTCCTATGGGCTCAAGTGTGAGCTCTGTGAGTGTCCCCTTCCCACCAGGGTTTTGCATGCCACGAGGTGAGGGTGAGGGGTGGTGCTGGAGGGGGGCTTCAGAGAGGAACAGAGATGGGGAGGGGCAGGTGTGGCTCATGTTGGGCTCTCCTGCTTATTAGGCAGTCATTTCTTGGGCCAAACAGGAGGTTTCAAGCAGCAATGAGCAGGGGGGCAATGGTGGTGAGGCATCTCTCCTGCCAGGTAACAGCAGCATGAGCTCAGAGCAGAGCTGGCCAAAATCTGGGGATGGATCTTAGTCCTCTCCCTAAGGAGATGTTAGCTGGTGCTGTGTCATGTCAGGTTGGCTTTAGGCTGGCCCCCTACAATCACAAGGGTGATAAACTCAGATCTGTGCATGTGGACTCTTCAGTCTCCTTTCCTGTATAATTAATTTGATCCAAACTGGGCAGAAAGGCAGATTCTGAGAGGCAGAAAGTGCCACGAGTGCCACACAGCTGGGTAAGGAGAGACTTGCTGAGCACCCATCCTCACTGCAATGGCACAGCAGAGCCCTGCAGTGCTGTGTGGCACCTGGGGACCCTCAGGGCAGCCAGACCCCACCGAGGACATGGACACAGGGAGCACTCTGGGCTTTCCCACCTGATCCCTTCCCAGGATCTGGGATCCTTGGGCCACCAGCCCTGCAACCTCCCCACTGCACTGCCTCACCCTGCCCACAATGAGAGCTGAGGGATGCAGGAGAGCAGGGAGGGAGCTGCTGGAGGTGGGAGGACAGATGTGCAGTGCCTGGACCAGCCTGTCCCTTGCAGGATGTCTGGCTGGTGCTTTAGGTGCTGGGAAAGCCGGGCAGATCCCATTTTCTGGGATGGTGTCTCCCTCCCCTGGCACAGGAGGGGAAGGAGAGCAGAACAGGCAGAGCAGCTCCACGGTCCTGTCTGTGTCAGCACAGAGCCCCTTCCCAGGCAAACAGAGGAATAAAAGGAAGCAGCTACAGCTGGGTGGGAGTGCCTGGTGTTTTCTGTGCCCCCAGGGACCCTTGTGCAGCTGGAGTTGTGGCACTTTGCATTATAAAATGTAACGATGAGCACGAGATTTCCTTTCCTGTTCAGGCTGCTCGGGTACAGGGCTGATTTCTCAGCCTCAGGTCGCTGTCTCTGCCAGGGTGAAGGGAAAGACCCCTGGAAATCCCCATTTCTCCCTGTTGTCCATAAAACAGAGCTCAGTGGCACCAGTTCAGTTGCAGATGTTCATCAAAGGCTTGGTAAGAACAATGCTGTGGTGTGGAGGCCCCAGTGAGGACTGAGATGTGCTTTGGAAAGTTACTTGTCTTGTTGCAAACTGTCATTTGGCCTGACACCTGAAAATGTTCTTTCTATTGTTTGGGATTTTTTTTATGGCACGTCAGTCAGGACTACAGATCATCCCTACAAAAAGGGAGCTTTTTATTATATCTATTAAAATTAAAGATATCTATTAAAAACCTCAGTGCCCCAGGATAGACAGTGAGACCTTGCTGCTATCCCTGGCCCACAGAAAAGTCCTCAAGGAGTGCTGTGCCAGTGTGGGACCTCCCACCTTGCAATGGCCATGTCCAGCTGATTTTTAACCCATCCTGGGCTGTCCAGGTTGACTTCAAACCCATCCAGGGTGGAAGAAGGACTCTGATGGATAATCCCAGAAAAGCAGATGGTGGATGCATTCCCCTGAGCAAAGGACAGTCCTGCAGAGGAGGGAGAGGTGTCCTAACACTGCAGTGAGGCCTGGGGGAGAAAGGAGCAGGTGCCTGATGGAGTCTCCCCTTTGTTTCCCTTTCCAGTGGCCAAGTGTGAGTACTTCAACGCAGGGGGCAGCGTGAAGGACCGCATCAGCCTCAGGATGGTGGAGGATGCAGAGAGAGCTGGGATTATCAAACCAGGAGACACCCTGATTGAACCCACTTCAGGAAACACAGGTGGGAAGGGCAGGGATACTCCCTCTGCCTGGGAACTGGGCAGGGTGGGATTTCTGAGGGGCAGGGATTTGCATTTGGAGATACGAGGTGGGCTCTGGCTCCATCCTCCCCTCAGCTCCCCTCCTGCTGGCCATGGGCTTCCAGGGATGCTGAGGTGCCTCCTTGCTGAAATTCCTGAGGGTTCTGTGAGGGTCCCACACCTGCACAGGTGTGCCTGGAAGGTCTTCTTGTGGCAGGGCAGACAGCATCAGGGGCTGGGGTAACCCAGGTGTTTTCAGGCTGGGAAGCTTTTGAATTCTCAGAGCATCCCAGAGACCATTCCCCTGATGGGTTGGAAGGGAATTCCTGTGATTTTTGCCCTTGTTGCTGTCACTTGTCACCCCACCACACTGTGTCACCCCAGCCAGCCACGGAGCCAAGGGGATCTGTGGTCCCCCAGAGCTGTGTCCCATGTGGGTCACACTGGCTCCCTGCCTGCCTGGGTTCAGCTGGAATGGCACCAGGCTCCCTGCAGCCCCTGGCAGGGACACGCTGCTCCTTCCTGCTGCCTCACCTTCCTGCTCTAGCAGGGAGCAGCTGCCTCCATCCATCACCCTGCTGAAACTGGAGCAGAGGTGCCCTTGGCCTGCCAGCCATGGAGCCACGTGCTGCGTCCTGTGTGTCTGTCCCCCCACAACTGAAGGGGAGGGGAAGGCACTCCTGAAGCACAATCACCTCTCTCCTGTGTTTCCAAAACCACAGGAAGGAGGCTGAGCCTCGGTGAGGGGAGAAAAGCTCTCCCCAGCCCTGCCATTCTCTCAGTGCCACCCCTGGGAGCAGGAGCCATGCTGTAGCTCTCCTTGCCCATCAGCCCATCCTCCCACACTCCCTGCATGTCCCAGGAGGCTCGTGGGGATGCCCTCACCCTTGGCTGGTCAGTGGCCACTCCTTGGTTCCATCCAGAGAGAGGAGTGTGGGCAGCGGCGCGCGTCCATCGCTCCTGCCAAATTCTGGTGCCAACCAATTCCCTCTGCTCCCCCCACGCAGGGATTGGGCTGGCACTGGTGGCTGCATTGAAGGGTTACCGCTGCATCATCGTCCTGCCAGAGAAAATGAGCATGGAGAAGGTCAGAGCTCTGAATGGTTTCACCCCACAGCTGGGGAACATCTCCTTCCTCTCTCTCTCTCTCTGCTCCTCCCTCCTGGAGCACTTTAAAAGCAAACGAGCCTTGCACACCCACTGCCACAGCTGCTGTTCAGAAAGTTGCCTCTTGAGGGGAAAAAGGCAGCCTGTGATGGCCTGGTGGCTGTCTGGTGTCAGAAGTGCAGCTGGGACAGCCAAACACAGTGTGTGGGTGCAGAGAAACAGAGCAGGATCTGCTGCACGTGGAGCACAGCAGGAGAGGCAGGCAGGGGCCAGGGCTGTCCTGCCACTCCTGCTCACCTCCCCCTGACATCTGACAGGTCACTTGGCCTCATTTGGTGCATTTATGGTTTGCTTTCACCTGGGGACACTTAGAGTTGCCTGAGCTGTTTCTCAGGGTGGTGTCTCAAGTCACTTGCATGAGAGCTGATGGTCAGGTGAACACACTGCCCTGGAGATGGCAGAAATCCCTCACTGGTGAGCCAAGAGCCTCACAGCCAGCTGAGCTATGCCAGTGAAGCCAGACACACACCCTGAGCTGGCTCAAGAATGAGCCCTACTCCAAAGTGTCACCCTCAATTCAACCTAAATCTCACCCAAGCTCAGTCTGGGCCAGATGCCACCTCCAGCTGCCATGGGCTTCATCTCCAGGTGTCCCAACACTCCCCTGTCCCACTGACAGCCCCATCTCCCAGAGGAGATACCCTAGGGCTGATTGCTCCTTCCCTGATTTTGGTGAGAGAAGTTTCTTAGGGCAAAACCAGCTTTTGGTCACCCTTTTGCATGCTGGGGCTGCAGTCCCAGCACTGAGACACTGTTCCCTGTCCAGTTCCCTCTGCCCTTTCCCTCTGGCACCAAGGAGCAGCACACTGTCACCTCCCTCCACCCTGTCCCCAGCCTGCCCTCCAAGTGGGACAGGGCAAGAGGCCAGGCTCCAATCCATGTGCCAGCTTCAGGCAGGAGCCCTGGGCTGCTGGAGCACGTCAGAGATAGCAGAGCCCAGAGCTGGACATTGTATCTCCACAGGATAAATGTCTCCCACATGCAAAGCTGCTCTGGCATCTGGCGCTGCCCTGAGCCCGCAGGTTCGGGTTACCATCCCTGTGTGGGATCAGCTGTGCTGCAGCTCCTCTTGTCCCTCCCAAAGGTCGATATCCTGAAGGCACTGGGTGCTGAGATCGTGAGGACGCCGTGCACTCGCTTTGATGCCCCCGAGTCCAACATCCGTGTGGCCTGGAAGCTGAAGAGTGAAATCCCAAATGCTCACATCCTGGACCAGGTAAAGGCCATCCCTCCACTGGCTCCCTTTTCCAAGAGAGTTTATTGGGTGTTCTCCAAGTGTGCCTGTGTTTGGGGGCTCTGTTTGAGCTGGCACCAGAGGCAGATTTCGTCAGTGTTTTATGGCATTTGAAACTTAATCACTCTGCAAAGCACAGGGGGACAGAAACAAAATAAGGGACACTTCCAAACCTGCAACACTTCTGCCAAAGCCTGGCTGTGGGTGAGGCTGGGTTTTCTTGCACAATTCAAAGACTACTCAAATTGCTTCAGATTTAACTTTGACCTGAAAAAAACCCCACTTTTTAAGCCTAGCTAGCAGCCTCTGTTCTGCCTCAAAAATAAACCTCATGCTGTAAAGGGCAAACCCTGGTGGCTCATGCCAGAGGTTCCTGCAGTGCTGGGTCTTGGACAGGAGGACACTTGGTCTGAGACCTGAGTGAGGAGCCCCTGGAGTGCAGGAAAGTCAGGCAAGCTCCTTCCTTCTGAGAAAAAAGTACCTCAAAGACTGGATGAGCTTTTCAGCTCATTTTTGGTCCACGGGCGTGAACGTGGGGTGCACAAATATCAGTGCTGCAAAATCCCTCTGTGCATGAGAGCTGACTGATGATCAGGACAGCTTCTCCAGCCCACAGTCCCCAGCCTCTGAACCATCCTCACACCTAAGGGACACCAAGAGCTGGAGAGGGAGTGTTTGTGGGCACATTTAACCTCCAGTGCAGAAAAACCCCAAGTGGGCTTGGAAATCTGTGCCAAAGGGACACCCGTGGCCTGTCCTGGTGGGGTGGCAGTGTCCCCCTCGGCAGGGAGAGGAGGGGGCAGTGCATGCTCTGGGCACAGCTGTGTCAGGAGCTGTGTCTGGTGTGGTATTTGCCCTGCTGTTCACACGGTAACTGCTGCTGTTCTCTGCTGGAATAAACAGTACCGAAACCCCAGCAACCCCCTGGCTCATTACGACACCACGGCCGAGGAGATCCTGGAGCAGTGTGAAGGTACTGTCTGTGCTGCTGCCTCGACGTGCAGGGGGCTGTAACCCTCTCTGAGAGGCTTCATTTACATCATTTATTGACCTGGATGTCTAGAAACAGCCCAAAGGGCCTCTGGAGGGGCAGGCAGTATTATCTTAATAACACTGACACACAGGGTGTAGCAACCTCTCCTAATCCACTCCAGATCCACCTCAGCCTGCAGGGCTTCCCAGCTCTACCCTCCCATTGCAAAAGCCTGGGGGGGAGACCAGAGGCTTAGGAAATTCAGGTTGTACCTAAAGGAGAAAGAACAAGTCTCTTTGTGGCCACAATGACCTGCCAACTGGGAACACAAGAGGTCCCACGAGGCCTTGGAGGGGAATATAAATCCACCAGGGCATGGCAAGGCTGCATCTGACCCAGCACTCTCATTTTCAAATCAAAACCTCACAAATAAGTGCCACTGGAAGTGAGGGCTGGGGAAGGATAAAGGGCTGTCCCAGTCCATGTTGGTGCACATAGAAGTGAGATTTATTGCCAGTTCTGGGAGCACTGTGAAGCGTGACCAGGACTTGAGGGTTTTAACTGGAGAGCAGTTATCAGAGCAGTAAAGAGTCAGGTATCAATGGCAGCAAGAGAGTCCCAGCCTTGCCTCCTCTGCAGTGTCAGGGTGTGCTCCAGCTGGCTGCCAGCTGTGGGTTGCAGGTCCCCCTTTCCCAGGGCAGCTGCAGCATCAGGTTTGAAGGCCAGACTCCAATTCTGCTCCTTCCAGTCCTAAATCTGTACAATATCAGCGATGCCAATGGGGCAGCATCTGACAGGGGCAGTGCCAGGGCAGAGCTCAGCCCTCCCTCCACTGTGGATGCCAGCACAGGCTGAAAGGTTGTGCCTCTTGGTGATACTCACTTGTGTGACTTGCCTTGATATGCTGTGCTTTGAAAGGGATGGATGTGCTGAGATATTCCCTCCTCCTTAAGCCACAGAATCACAGAATATCCTGAGCTGGAGAGGACCCACAAGGATTATCAAAGTCCAACTTGTGGTCCTGTGCAGGACACCTAAAAAGTCACACCATGTGCCTGAGGGCATTGTCCAAACACTCCTTGAGCTCTGCCAGGCTGGTGCTGTGACCACTGCCCTGGGGAGCCTGTTCAGTGCCCAACCACCCTCTGGGGAAGAACTTTTCCCTAATACCCAACCTAAACCTCCTCTGACACAGCTTCATGCTGTTCCCTCAGCTCAGTAGAAGCCAAAGATGCAGAAATCATGGAGAGATGCAGTGGGAGATCTGGAGGTCACCTTCAGCTCCCTGCAGTGAGGCAGGACCAGCTGTGCTCAGGTCCTGCAAGCTCATCTGAGCTCTGCACAGGACCAGGCTTTGGCCACCAGCATGGCCTCTGCCTTTGCTCACAGGAGTTTTGCTGGACACAGGCTCTGCACAGGGCTCTGAATAAAGGGGAGATTGTGCTGGGGGCTGTGCTGAGCCCTTGCAAACCTCTCTGCCCCCTGATCTGCAGGCAAGGTGCACATGGTGGTGATTGGATCTGGCACAGGAGGAACCATCACTGGTGTTGCCAGAAAGCTGAAGGAGAAGTGCCCGGAGTGCAAGGTAAGGCTGGAGGCAGGACTGCTGGGGTTTTCATGGAATCACAGAATGGTTTGGGCTGGAAAGGACATTAGGGGTCATCCCACTCCAACCTCCTGCCATCAGCAGGGACACCTTCCTTGGGCACGACACCAGCAGGCACAGGTGCCCAGAGTGCAAGGTAAGGCTGGAGGCAGGACTGCTGGGGTTTTCATGGAATCACAGAATGGTTTGGGCTGGAAAGGACATTAGGGGTCATCCCACTCCACCCTCCTGCCATCAGCAGGGACACCTTCCACCAGACCAGGTTGCTTAGAGCTGGCCTTGAACAATTCCAGGGATAGGGCACCCACAACTTCTCTGGGCAACCTGTGCCAGGGCCTCACCACCCTTAAAATAAGGGATTTCTTCCTACTATCCAGTATAAATCTCCCTCCTTCAGCTCAAAGCCATTTCCCCTTGTCCTGTCCCTGCATGTCATTTCCTGCCTAACCCCATGGCTCACCTGAGGAAGTAGGTGGTGTCTGCACTTATTTGTTTGTTCACAGCAATGTGGCTTCTGTGGGAAGAAATTTGGTAATGTTTAGGCTGATCTAGACCCATCCAATTGCCTTAGAGACCAAAGTTTCCACAGCTCCACTAAAATCTCCCCCTGCCTGGTGCCTTGCCCTGTGCAGGGCACTCTGGGGAGGCACAGGCAGCAAATGCTTCTCCTCTGCCACTGCAAAACCCTCTGTGCTTTAGGGTTAGCATCACTCACAATGCTCATCCTGCAGAGCTCGTGCTTCAAGGCAGGCTGGAGGGGTGCACACACTGCTCTGGTCAGTGTGTGAGTGATCCCTGATCCACAGAGAGGTGTGGACCCATCATTTGAGGTCTGGGACGTGAGGCTGCCTCCCTGGCAGCGTGCAGCTGTCTGTGTGCAGTGCCACCATCCTGCTGAGAAGGAACCTCAGCCCAGACACAAGGCTGTGAATAACCAGGGAGGTGTCACCATCAGCCAGCACAGCCAGATCCAGAAAGGATGTCTGTATCCACGGGTCTCCACAGGTTAGAGCTCACTGGCTGGCTGCACCTAGAGCAGATTAAGGAGCTCTGGCACTGTCCTCAGGAAGGAGCAGGCTCTGCCAAGGGGGTGATGACAAACACCTTGAGAGTGATAACATTTTAAGCCACCAGTCACTTCTGCAACAGCTGAAGACTACCTAGGATCTATTTAAGAAGACAGTGAAAAACAGCACCCTTTTATCCTGGAAGCTCTCCATGCTGCCAGTGATTAGGAATATTAATGAATATCAGGGGGAGGAAACACTGCTGCTGAGGGTGTGGGTAACTTTTCCTTTGAGTTTTGTGTTTGGCTGTTTCTGAATTCCCATTTTAGTTTGACAAAATGCCTTTCCCTCCAAGATCATTGGCGTGGACCCCGAGGGCTCCATCGTCGCTCTGCCCAGTGAGATGAACACGAGCAACACCACAACCATCGAGGTGGAGGGCATTGGGCACGACTTCATCCCCACTGTCCTCGACAGATCCGTGAGTAACCCTGTGAGGAGGGGCCTCTGCCTGCTCTCTGCCTTGGCATCCAGCTGTCAGGGCTACTCAGTGCAAATTTCCAATCACCCAGTGCAAAACAACAACTAAATGAATTATTTAGTGCGCTACAACATCCAGCCTGCTCCCAAGGCCAGAGGTGTGGTGGCCCTGATGTATCTTCCCAGTGCAGAGCAAGCTGTTGTGGGGGGATTGGGACACTCAGTTACTTTCTAAGTAACTCTGATTATAACTGACTGTAGTGGTTTTGATTTGTTAATTTAAGATTTCTTCAACTTTAAAATTTCCTGGCTAATGCACCAAAGAGTGTCAGGTATTGGTGCTGGTCAATCACTAATACATTCACTTCCTGCTGTAAAATAGGATTAGGAGGAAGGAAAAGAAGGCTCAAAACTTAAAAAAAGTATAAAGAAAATTGTATTAAAAGTAATTAAAAGAAAAAAAAAGTAGTAAGAATCAAAACAAACCCTTCAGAACGCTTCTTCTTCCCCCACAACCTTTTCTTTCTCACTGATAATGTAAAGAAACAAAACCTAAAATTGCCAGTCAGTTTACTACCCTTAAAATAGTCTTTCTTCAGTTCACTTAGGAAGAGAAGTCCCTCTTGTTAAGGTTATGGAAACTTTTCCACTTTTCCAAGAGGAAAAAGACATGTGTTTTCACAGAAGAGTGTCCAGCTTCTCAGTGGCTCAACAAACTCAGTTACACAAAAAGCTTTTGCCTGACTTCCCTAAATTCCTCCCATGTCAAACTACGACACGAGGAGAAGGCAGACAGTGGAGAAAAGCAGGCATTTAACACGGTGAGAGTGTCCTCTGCTCAGCCTCACCACGGTTCAGATGTGCCCCTTTGGCTCTGATCACACAGATGTCTGTGCTGAGGCTGCTCCTCCTCACACTGCTCTTTCCTGAGCCTCCTCTGCCTCAGGGAGCACACACAGAGAGCAGAAATCCTGCACCATGCACAGCCTGGATGACAAGATCCAAGTAAGACAGCAGATCATGAACCTTGCAGCTCTTCTTGTCAAGTTCCCTCTCAGTATATCAGCTGCCACAGAGCTTTAAATCCCTAACACAGGCTGCCTGTGTTGCCCTGGCCTCATTCTAGAAAGGTCCCTCACAGCCTCACAGCCCAGACTCTTTCTGCTTCCAGGTGTTAACTACATCCCAGCTGCCAGCACCTGGCTGTAGAGCTGTCACCTTAACAATCCAGACTGATTCTTGTAGCTGGATCTCATTTTTGGCAAAACCTCAACCATTAATGTACCCTGGCCTGGGACATCATAAATATTCCTCCACATCCTAACTCTGGACCTGTCAGGCATCCCTAACTCTCCAAGGAAAGGGTGCTGGCTGGAAAGGTGTGGGTGTCTGCAAGCAAGAACTCCAGACCATGGATGTTCTGACAAATGCTTTCAACAAGTGTGGAAGGCAGCTCTGAGCTGCCAGATCTTGGTGTGCCTCAGAGGGTCAGGGCCTGAATGACATTGCCAAGACTCATCCTCCTTGCTTCCCTTCCAGGTGGTGGATCAGTGGTACAAAAGCAACGACAGAGACTCATTCCTCATGTCCCGCAGGCTGATCAGAGAGGAGGGGCTGTTGTGTGGTAAGCACAGAGCAGCCACAGCAGTTTGTTCCCTTAACAAACCTTCTGAACCTCATCCTTTTGGGGCCAAAACTCTCCAGAGTAGGTGCCCTCTGCATTTTGTGTCTGCTGGGTGAGCAGGGCTGAAAGGCTGAGCCTCGGGCTGGGCAGAGGTCACTGCAGGCTCCAGAGGTGTGTCCCTGCGTCTGGTCTGGGCTCTGACTCATCAGCCACAGTAATTATAGAAGTAATAATTCTCTCCTTGCTGGAGCGCTCTTGCAGTGGAACTGGATCTTCAGGCAGTGTAGAGTTACACAGGCTGAAGGGAGGATTAGTGGGGCTCGAGGCAGGACAGGTGGGCTCTGCCAACAGCTCTGCGAGGCCGTGCTCGGTGTCACTGCCACACCAGAGGTGCCAGCTTTGGACCAGGACGGTCTGAAAGCAAAGAAAGTGTGAGATGTTCTTACCGAGTATTTCTCCCCGTGCCAACAAGCTGTAAGTGATCCCACTGGCTTCCCAAAATGAACAGGTGCCCTCACACAGACCCTGCCTGGACCCTAAGAGCCTCCACAGAGCATCAGCCTTGTTTTTAGCCTTCCTGACACCAAGCAAACACCAAACAGACACAGGTTTGCATCCAGGAGCAGACACTACGTAGGCTCTTAGCTAGAGCTGATAAAAGCCCTGAGCACTCATATCCAGGGAGTTTTGCAAAAGATCAGGCTATATATATGTAATGAAACACTTAAGTGTTGATTTAACCTAGCAGGCACGGAGTCACTGTGTTTCAACAGAAACCACTTGTTTGAACTCAGCCATAATTTGTGAACAGCTTCGTGTTCCCTAAACTGCATTTTTCAGGGCCGTTCCTCGCTTGTTTGAAAAATGTGACCCAGGGATAATTAACCTGCTGTAAAATACGTGCTGCCTTGAATGCAGTGTGTAATTGGCACACAGATAATGGAATGTGTTTGACTTCCAGTACTCAGACTGGTGGTGGAAGAATTGCCTCTGTAAAGCAGGGACCTGCTTGCCCTACGTGCAGCAAACCACATGCGTGCACACAGACACGGGGAGCATTCAAGCCTTCCCATCATGTTGGCCTGGTATTCCAAGCATGAATGAAATGTTTATGAGGTTTTTTTTCAGTCTTTACAGTGCATTTAAAGCCAATCTTTGGCTGCCAAGTATGTCAGCCAGAAGCTCTAGAACTGGCATGGTGTTATGCTGGTGGGAAGGGAGGGTGTGGTGTGGGCAGCGTGTTCTGAATGTCCCTGCATGGGACCTCTCAGGCCTTGGTCTGCCCACAAGAAATGGTTCATGAAGTCCTTGAGGTGACTTTCATGCTGCCTCCAAAGCCCAAGAGCCACCACGCGAACACATCCCATCAGTCCCCACCTCTGCCTGGCCCTAAAGCCTACAAGGCTTTGGGATTGATTGTCCTCCCATCCCAGTGTCCCTCCCACGAGGTGCCACCTCTGCACCCTTATCTGGGGCAGCCTGTATTTCCCACTGCAGGGCAGTCTGACCCTTGTCTCCCTCTCCCTGGTGCCCACGCAGGTGGCAGCTCGGGCAGTGCCATGTCTGTGGCTGTGAGAGCTGCCAAGGACTTGCAGGAAGGCCAGCGCTGCGTTGTCATCCTGCCCGACTCCGTCCGCAACTACATGTGAGTGTCCTGCTGCCTGCCCCCCTTCCCAGCACCAGGGTGGGAGTTCCCACAGCCTCCTGTGACAGGAGATGACCCAGGTGCTTGGGGTTCTGGAGAGCCACCCCAATAAATCTGATAGCAAGGCACAAGGAGTGAGCCCAGAGCTGGGAGTCTCCCTCGGGCAGATCATGGGGAAAAAGCAAAATAAACAACGGGGAGGAACAGCCCATCAGCGTGGCAGTCACCAGGGGATGGGTGTTGGGACACTTGGGGTTTATTTCCTCTCATCCATGACTCACTGCACGGAGCAGGACTCAGCCAAGCTGTGCTTTCTGAGCGTGCATGCCTAAAGTTAGGAAGGCAAATAGCTGGCGTGCTTCGAAGAGTTCCTGAGCACCCGATGCTCCTGTTGACCTTAAAAGGGGCTGAGAGCAGCCAGCTGCAAAAATCATGAGAGCCCCGGGGGCAGTGCTGTGGTCTGGTGCACAAAACAAAGCAAGACTTCTTCTGGGAGCCTCACAGACTTGCTCTTTGTTGGTGATTTCTAGGTCCAAATTTGTAAATGATACGTGGATGATAAAAAATGGGTTCCTAAATGACGCCCAGGAGCACAAGCCTTGGTAAGACAACTTCTGCTGGGATAAACTGTGCTAAGGGAATCAGCTTTCTGAGTCTGGAAATCATCATCTTCAAAGGAAAACGCTCCCTTTTAGTGTTTAGGAAAAACACAGTAAAGTCCAGACCCCTCTGGGGAGGCTGTAATGTCAGCTCTTCTCTTTTGAGTTGTTATCTCTCAGCCCTCCAATCAAAGTCTATAAAGGAGCCATTTCTGTCCCAAAGTAGCTGATCCACTCCCTCATGGCAGCCCAGGCCACCTAAACCCTCTGAAAACCTCTCTCCACTCCACATCTGATGTTCAAAGGACTATCAGGCTGCTGGGGAGGTGGGTCCCTGTTGTAGCAAGCCCCCTTTCAAACAGCTCTGCAGCTCTTTTCAGGCATAAACCAGGAAATTTTCACCTTCCAGAGCTGCTGGCCAGAAAAGTTGGCCAACTCTGCTGTCCCTTGGACACCATGAGGAAAGAGTCCCCTCAGGGAGTCATAGGCAAACTGCTGATGCCAGTTGATGTGTGGCTGGGCAAATGCCAGTTGTTTAGAAAAGCTCTTGGTCTCACCCTAAAGACAGCAGGTATTACTGATGTCGCCTTCTCCTTTACCAAAAATTATTGTAAAATATTTCCTAAAAACTTAACACGTTTCCAAGGCCTCTTGTGTCTGGTTAGAGTTGCTCTTGGCCCTTCCAGGCTCCAGCATTGCCCTGCCTTTTCTGCAAGGACTCAGGGCTGAGATGTTTGGGAGCTGCTCATGTTCCCCCCCAAACAAGCTCAGCTTGCCCCTCATAAGTCACACGAGCATCTCTGCAAGGCTCTCTCCTGCAGGAGCTGCAAATGCTGCCTTGTGAGGACCAAGGATACAGAACAAAGGAGTAAAACTGGTAGGTCACCCATTTATGAGCTTGAAGTGAAGCCCTCCATAGCTTCCTTGGATTCAGGACAGCTCAGCACCTTGCCAGCTGCTGGTCTCATCCCTGCCTCTGGAGCTGCATGAAAGCTTGGCTTCAACAAGACCTGGCCGTGGTGGCATTTCTGCTTTGGCTGTAGGAGTGGGGCTGGCTTTTCAGGCAGAAAGAAATCCCTCATCTCCTCTGGCCTTGCCCCCTGCTGAAGGCCACAGCTGTGCAGCAGCCACAGCTCCGCGCTGCCATTTGTCTTCCAACAGGTGGTGGAACATCAAGGTGCAGAAACTGAATCTCTCAGCCCCTCTCATCCTCCTCCCAGAAGTCAGCTGCCAAAAGGCAATTGAGATCCTCCAGGAGAAGGGATATGACCAAGCTCCTGTTGTTGCTGAGTCAGGGTAACTATTTCTGCTCACTGCACAGACGGGCATTCGTACAGAAAAATCAGTCACGGTGAAGCCAAAGTCCCATTTACTCCTTCAGAGCTGGGGCTCTTGTGTTGGACTCTGATGCATAATTTTAAAAAGATCATCTGCCTCCTAGTGAAGATTCATCAATAGAACTCTTGTAAAAGATCCAGTTAAAGCCCAATCCAGTGCCCACCAAACCAGAAGATGCTGGATCAGTGCACAGGCAAGGGGAGCCCAGGGGAGTGAGAGATGGGGGGAAACCCTCACAAATAAGCAGCTGGAGAGCCCATGGGTTTTCCTTCTCCCAGCTGCTAAGTCCTGGACTGCAACAGCAGTTTTTAACTGCTGTGAAACCAACAGCTTGGTGAGGACAAAGACCTCCTTGTGCTGCTCAAGAGAGGAGAAACTGATGCCTCCCACTGACTGCAGCAACAATTTAGTCACTGACTTCAACCATAGCCCCTACATAAAATGTGTGTTCTACCTCAGGTCTGACCTTCTGGAAAACTCCCTGTTCTCTTACAGGCTAATTTTGGGAATGGTGACCCTCAGCAACACCCTGAGCTCCGTGCTGGATGGAAATGTGGAGTCCTCAGACCCTGTCACCAAGGTCACCTACGACCAGTTCTCCAAGGTACCAGTGGGGCTGGGCTGGGCACAGGGACACAGGAGAGGTGCACCAGCAGCACCCTGGGGTGTGAGAGGAGCTGGGAGAAGAGGTTGGTGAGAGGGCAGAGAGGAGCGGGGAGGGCCATGGTGACATCTTGGAGATGAGAGTAAGGACAAGCACCTGTGCAAGCCCTGCAGAGCCAGCAGGGCTCAGATATGGGAGCTTTTCACACCAGGAGCCAAGCACTGACTGGGGATTTCATCCACCTGGGGAATCAACACCCTCCAAAATCAGAGCTCAGCCATTGCCAGGTGAAGTAAAATGTTAAAGGTCACATTTTGTCCTGTTTAGATCAGCCTGGAGGACAGCCTTGGGAAGCTTTCCTGCATCCTGGAGAACGACCACTTCGCTATCGTTGTGCACGAGCAGATGCACTGTAGGTATCTGCAGAAACTCCCCAGGGGCTTGGCACAAGTGTTTGAGAGGGGACAGGGAAATTCTCAGGCTGACTGTGGCAGGTGCCAGTGCAGCTGCTGCACCTGTGCAGCCCCTGAGCCTCTGCCCCACGAGGGATTCTGCTCTGCACAGCCCTGGGACTGCCCTCTCCTCACCCACAGGGGTGAGGGGAGAGGGGCAAAGCTAGCGAGGGGGAAATTAGGGATCTCTGTAGGCTTTGTAGGCCAGGGGCAAGGTCAGAAGGAGAATTTGGCCACATCAGGTAAAGCCTGGGTGGAATTCAGGCACCTAAGATGAGAAAGCTGAGAAAAACTGGGGTGGGCCACGAGCAAGCCCTGTGGCACAGGTCATCAGGGGCACTGGTTGTAGTCTGGGGCAGCTGTGTGTGAGCCTTCCCTGGACCATGGCTGCTGTAGGGATGCTGTGCCAGTCTGGGAGCACCATGAAAGCAGGTTTTATTGGTTTTATTCTCAATCCACTGCACAGCCACCTTCCCCTTGGTGTACAAGCCAGCCCAGCAGAGTCACCTGCAGCAGCACCACAGCAGCATGAGGATTGCTGACACCCCTTGTGCCTCCTCTGACCCAAAAAAGGCGTGGTGGCAGGTGCTGATCAGCACATCTGACCTGGCACACCTTTCCAGTACAATTACACCAAAAGGAGTGCAGGTTTGACCTTGGCTGGGAAAAGTGAGCAGCACAAAAAGCAGTCAGAAGAGCCATGTTTAGGCCTTGTTAATTAGAGCTGAAGGGTGTAATTATGCTGATTTGATGGGATCACAGACTGAGCATGCACAGCATCCCTCAGGTGAGCAGTGGGTGACTCCAGCAAGGGGCTGTCTGCTCAGCTTGGGGCCTCCAAAACCCAAACATCCCAAACCTTCCCTCTCCAGGGCCTGCTCCCCCAGAGCCCTATCAGCTCTGAAGCTTGCAGGTCCATCCATGTTCCCATAACAGGCTGCAAACAAAAATCTGCCACTCAAAACTGCCTTTGATGCATGTTTCCAATTCAGTCACCAAAATTAATGCAAGGCACAGTTTCCTTTCTCAGCTATGTTGTCATAAAATAAGGAATATCTCTTTTGTATCACATTTTGATATAAATTAAATGGAATCAGCAAATTAAATGGCACCCATCAAAAAATATCAGCCAGCAGTCTGCAGCAGCTCTTGTTCTGATTTTCAAACAACACCCACATGCTTTTCCAGAGCTGCTGTTTTAATGCTGTCACAGTTACCCCCTTATTTATTACCTTCTTCCCACACCTTTGGAGCTTGCATTTTATCTTGTGTTTGGGCTCTGGTGGCTAGTTTTATTTTTATTTAAGAAAACATTTATCAGACAGTTAAAACAATTATTGAAGTGCTGTTTCATTAATGGTGGTGTAGGAGATTTTGAGAACAGATTAGAAAAGTGCCTGACTGCTGCTTTTAGAGAGTCTCATTAGTTTGCTCTGAAAAGTTCTGTGGTGATAGGAGCAGGACTGGAACAGAGGTTGGCTAAAAACAACTGGGAAATTAAGTTTCCTGCTCTGGGAAAGGTAGGTTATTTGCAGCAAAAACCTCTCTGGTGTGATCACAGTAACCTGGCTGAGAATCCATCATCATTTCTGTGGAGGCAGAGCTCAGGCAGGAGGCAGAGCTCAGGCAGACACTGTCCCTGTTGGGGCTTTCTTTTAATAAATGCACAGCAGCCTCTGCACAGCTGGAAGGTGCTGAGGGGGCTGGTGGTGCTCTTTTTTACTGTTTTGCCACTAAGCTGGAATTTTCTGTGCTTCCAGTCAGTGGGAATGGCAGCTCCTCCACGAAGCAGACGGTGTTTGGTGTGGTCACAGCCATGGATCTCCTCACCTTTGTCAGCAGGAACGACAAGAAGTAGCAGAGCAGCTTGGCTGTCCCCCCTCCTCCAGCAGGCCCAGGTGTGCCCCCAGCCCAAACCACCTGGCCAAGGCAGCCTCTGGCCCAGTGCAGCCAAGAGTTTCTCAAAATGCCTAGGAGAAAATTGTGATGTATTCTATTTGTCTGCCAAATGCCACCCCCAGTATCACTAAAGAGGAGGTGACAAAAGAAATTGTGTTTGACAGCCATGTGTGCTCACATGGAGCTTCCCAGGGCTGGGCAGGGAATGTGGGAAGGTCAGCATGGGAAGGGGATGGTTGTTCCTGCCCAGAGTTGAGCAGGAGGAGCTTTGGTGTGTCTGCCAGCTGCAGATGCCTGTGCACTGCCCCTGGTGCACTGCTGAGTTACCCTGATCCCTCCAGAGCCCATTTCTGCCTCGAGAGCAGCAGGGCTGGGGGCAAGCCAGGGCACTGCTGCACCCTCCTGCCCCTCTCTGCCCACCCAGGGCTGCAGGCACCCCCAGAGCCATTCCTCCTCACCCTGGGGGTGTTTGCCTCCAAGAAGGCAGCAGGAGAGTGTGGAGTCTTAACTTCTTTTTGCCAGGCTCAGGATTAAATGTGTGAGATGGTATTTCTTGTTCTGACTCAAATGTTTATTAGTTCTTTTCTCTGTCACAGTCTCACAAACCTCTCAGCAGCCAGGGTTCCAACAGGAGAGGTGTGACAAGGAGGGAGGGACACAGAGCCCCAGGAGGTGAAAGGTGTCAGCAGGAGGGGTGGAAGGGAAAGCTGAGGCAGTGGTGAGCAGAGGGGATGAGGGGCTGGGCTGGTGGTGGATGGTCCCCCCTGTGAGGGCAGCTGGGCTTTGGGGAGCACCTTCCTCACCTCTGGGGGAGTTGGTGGCACTGGGTGCCTCCTGCGTGGTCCCACGTGAGGGGACAGTGAAGGGAATTCAAACAAGAAGCAAACTCAGTCACAGAACAGTGAGAGGGGCCATGGCTTCATCCCTGGATATGCATCCTGAGAGCTCCTCATCGAGGGCTGCAGGGGAGAGCAAGGTTTGGTCCTAGTGTTGCTGTCAGGCCATTGTGTTCTGGGGACTGATAATGAAGGTCAGCAGAGCCATTTGCCTTGGCTACCAAAGAACTTAAAGCAAATGTCAAAAGTGGGCTGTGGGAGCAAACTGAAGTGCCATTGAAACCCAGTTTGGGGGGAGTTGCTCTCAAAAGGCCCAGGGAGGTTCACAATCTTTCTATAATTTTCTGGAGTTGCTCCAAGGTGGCAACAACCAATTTCAATTTCAGCTAAGTGGCTACTCCATATTCTCAATCTAATCTAGTTTGTAGGAGACTTTTATGAAGTTATAGAATGCTGAAGTATTTACATTTAGAAAAGTCTCTCTGCTGCCCGTTGTTTCCTGAGTGACACAGGCCATTATCAGATTTTCTGAGAGTTTTTGCTTGAGCAATAACCATATTTGTCCAGAAAAACAAAAACTGATTAGCTCAACCCTCATTGTATCATATTTATTTTAGCAATTCTATTGCAAAGTGAAGCATGTTAGTCCATGCACGTACTCCAAACTCACATGAGTAAGTCTGAAAGTGCTCTGTAACTCCAAGAAGCCCAGAACTGAAGCTGAATCTGGACCAGCCTGGCTGTTATGGATTAAGCCAAAGCCCAGTGCCTCCAGCAGCAGCAGCAGCAGGGCTGCAGGGCTGCAGGGCTGCAGGCAGTGCTGCCAGCTGCAGACAGGCTCCAGGACAGGCAGATGCCCTCCAGCCAAGGTGAAGGAACCGCTGAGTATTAACCTGGAATATTTACAACTCCTTCTCTGTGTTAACTCTGAGTGTGGGAGCTAATAAAGGTGGGTGTGAGCTCCAGATATTCCAGGATTGCTCCACCTGGGCTGGAGCTAGGCTCACCAAGGCACTCCTGGGGTCCCCTTGCTCTGTTCCTGGGGCTGCTCTTTGCACATCCAGCAGTGGCACTGCCCTGCCCGGGATGTTGGTGCTGTGTCTCCTGATGTTTGCCAGGCTGTGACCCTGTGTCCCACCACCACCCCGGAGTGCTGGGTTAGGAGTGAGAGGGACTGGCTGTGCCATCCTGCCCACCGTGCCTCGGGCATGGAAAAGGCCCCAGGAGGCAAGGGAGGAGTTTTCATTTGAGTTGTCTGCAGAAATCCCTGCAGGATCTATAAACACATCGGGGGCAGGAGCAGCGTGTCCCAGTGTCCCTCCCACCACCCTCTGTCCCCTCTCCACACATCCCTGGGCCTGTCCTCTGACAGTGATGACCCCCTCTGGATAAACAGTCCTTGGAGCTCCTTTTCCTTCCCCTACCCTTGAGACCCTGTCAGTATTTATGTCTCCAGCTTGGTGCTCCTGAGCTCTGTGGGGCATGGGGGTTCTGACCAGAGGTTTGGGGTTTTCCAGGCTTCAGGAGCCATGAGAAGGGAGCAGGAGGTGGGTGAAGGCCAGGCAGCATCCCAGCCCACTGTCCTGAGTGCAGGGTCCAGCTCCAGTGCTCCATCAGCCTGCAGGTCCATATGTGCTCTTCTCCCAGCTCCTCCTGCTCCAAAGGGTGAGCGGGTGTGTGCTCCCAAACCCTCTCTGCTTTCCAGCCCCATCTGCCCCAAGATGCCTCTGCTCTGCAAGGCTGGGGGGCACATTTCCACTGAGCTCATGGGTGCATCAATGCATTTCCACAGCAGGGACCAAATGGCCCAGGGAGGAATAAACTCAGGCTGCCCGTGATGGTCACATGAAATTTGTGCATCCCTTCCTGCTGAGATCCACAGCCTTGGCTCCCTGCAGCTCAACCCAGAGGAAAACAAACCCTAAAGGCTCTAAAGGCTGCATGTCAAACCTGTGGCACGGGAGAGCTGCCCTGTCCTGGGAAGGTGTGTGCCCTGACAAGGTCCATGCCCACCCCTGGCTCCTGCATTTTGGGGTGCATCAGCCCGAGCTGGCTGCATTTCAGCTGTGCTGCCTTCCTAGAGCTTTTAACCCGTTTTTACTCTCCCTGTGGAGCCCAGTGTCCCTGTCCCCAGCAGTCTGTGAAGCACAGGGGCTGCTGATGCTGCAGAAACCCTGGTGGAGTTTGCCCAGAGGGGCGTGGGGAGCCAGACAGAGCTGGACACGCCGGATTAGCCTGAGCTCAGACAGAACCAGTACCAGGAGCCAGATAAGCATCTGGCTGGCCCTGCCCAGCACCTTGGAGGCTTCCCCGCCTCCCCGCCAGGGTTCCACCCTGCAGCCACATAAAAAGAGGAGCGGGGCCGCTTTCCAGGGAACCGCAGCGCATCCCAGAGCCCGGCCCGCCCCGCAGGTAACCCGGGAGCCACGGGAACGGGGCAGGGCCAGCCCGCATCCCAGAAGGGCGGGGGAGGATGAACACTTCCCCAGGGAATAGCGGGAGGACGGTGATGCTGGAAATCGGCTCTGCTGAAGGGGCCCAGTTTCACTGCTGGGTGCGGTCAGGTGTTTTGGGATGGGATTGGTGAGGTTGGGGTGTGAGGAACCTTTGGCTTAGTGATCTTTGGTGGTGGTGTGCTGCTCTGTCTGGCGGGGTGGCTGAAGCTGGGGCAGCCAGGAGGGAGCTCTTGGCCTGGGGAAGGAAATTCCCTTCCAGCAGCAGCTTTTCCATGGGGAGCATGTCTGGGTTCTGTGCCAGTCCTCTGGGAAGAAACAACCCCTAGATTAAAAAGTGTGAATGAAAGGAAGGGGCAGAACAACTCCAGCAAAGACAAAGCAGGTCTAAGTAACTTAAACTAGCAAAAGCTTGCTTTAAAACAGAAAAATTTCAAAAAAGTGTGAATGAAAGGAAGGGGCAGAACAACTCCAGCAAAGACAAAGCAGGTCTAAGTAACTTAAACTAGCAAAAGCTTGCTTTAAAACCAGAAAAGCTTCAAAGTATTTATTTCTTTTTCCAAATTGATCATGGGTTTTTTTTTTTTTTTTTTTTTTTTTTTTTTTTTTTTTTTCCCAAACTGATAACAGACAGGGTCTGTGCTTTCAAGCTTTTTCTTTATGGTTATGCAACTTGCAAATGTTTTTGTTTAAGGAGATGTTAAGAAATAAATGTGAGTAGTTGCATGCAAGAGTAGGAAATTGGGGTTATCAAAGGGTGATGATATAAATGTAATCAAACGTGGCAATGGGAGAAGAGACCAGAGCTGGAAGGACCCAGTGCAGGAAAGAGGAAGGTGTATTTAATCCACCAGGACATAAGGGGACTCAGAGAGAGGGAAGGGATCAAAAAACACACTTAAGGAAACACTGGGTCTTGAAAAGCTGGGGGAAAATAAATAAATAAACAAATAAATAAATTTTTAAAAAAGAGTCCTCAGCCTTAAAACAGGAACAGGATTCAGCATGGGCTGCCAGGTGCTGTGCATCCAGGGTGTGAGTGGAGCAGGAGGAGGGAGCAGGCACAGGGAGGGAATTTCATGGCAGGACTGACTCTCTGAAAACAGGCTGGCCAGAGAAATGGAGAAGACAAAGAGGTGAGTCCCACAGGAATGCCCAACACTGGAAACATCTTCCTTAAGGAAAAAAAAGGTTTTTCCAGTTGAAACAGAGATGGAGTGACCCCCTTGGCTTCCTCTGAAGGAGTGAGGTGGCTGGAAAAGGCAGAGAGTGAGTGGCACAGCAGGACAGGCTGGGAGCTGGAGCAGCCTGGAGTAGGCACAGGACAAGCCACCAAAGCAGAGAGTGCTTCTTTAAACCCTTCTTCTGTCCAGGCCTGCATGCCTTCCAGGAACAATTAATTAGGCATTTAAATGTAAATTATTAGCACCAACATGAGGGTGAACAAGTCTGTGTGGGCTTTGCTCAGCAGGGCCCACCTGCCTGAACCCCTGGGGATGGAGGGCACTGTGCTCGAGCCAGGATGGGTTTTTGGGGATGAGATTCTGGTTTAGAACAAACCCCCCTGGCACCTGAAGCTGTTAAGTCAGGAACAGAAGGAAAGGCTCCAGTCTTCAGGTGGATCAGAAGGTGAACTTTAATGAAAGTAGCAGGTCTTTTATAATGTGACTCACTGAGGTGAGACTGGGTTGGCCTCAAAGTAGAAACACCTCACACTATTGGTGACTGAATAGCACACTGCGAAGAACCACAACTGTAAACAATAGTTACAGAAAGAGAGAAAATAATTAATTCTTTCCTCTAAGAGTCCCAGGCTCGGCCTGGGGGAAATTCTCTCTGTTCTTTCTTTGGCTGAACTGAGGATCTCCACAGGCACCAGGCAGCTGTGGGTGAGCCATGGGCTCCTTAGGGAGATGGGGCTGCATCCCCTTGGCTTTAAACCACAGAGGGGCCAGCCCAGAGCCGGGACCTTCAGTGTGACACCCCCTGTGTGTGACACTGCTGTGCTGCACTAAATAGCTTAATTAGTTGTTGGTTTGCACTGGGTGGTTGGGAATTGGCACAGAGTAGTTTTTCTATTGCACTGCACAGCTGATGTTACATCACGAGGTTTGCTACCCCTTTCCCCCATCTCACGGCCTTTCCCTCACCCACCCCAGTACCCCTGGTGGTCTCTGCCCTGGGTCACCCCTCTCCTCACTGGTGTCCCTTGGCTGTGGACCTCTCCCTCTGTCCCCATCCTGGGGTATAAAAGTCCCCTGCCACCAGGGAACGCCCTCTTTCTCCCACGGGTTTGTCCACCTGGTGTGTCTCGGAATAAAGAAGACGAGCGCTTCTCAATCTTTTACCTTCATCTCTGAATTATCATGTGGGCGAGGGTCCACAGCCGGAGTGCACCCCAACAGCCCGGCAGAAACCTCGTTCATTCCCGACACCTGCCCCCATTTCCCCCCTTTTTTTCCCCCCCAGAATCATGGTCTCCCTGCACCTGTGGCTCGCCTGCCTCCTGCTCCGCGGCGCATGGCCCAAGCCCGCCTGCGACCCGCGCTCCTGCCCGCCGTGCCCTCAGGGCTCCCCGCAGGGCCCGGCCGCCGCCGCGGGCTCCTCCTGCTGCCCGCCGTGCCCGCCCTCCTGCCCCTGCCCGCCCTACCTGCAGGACGACTGCGAGCTGCACGGCTTCCCCGCCGGCCTCGTGCCCGCCGGCCGCGCCTTCCACATCGACTTCGGCCGCTCGCTGTGCCGCTGCGGGCCCGCGGGGGCCGTGGCCNCCCGCGGGCCGACGGCTGCCCCGGCTGCGTCTGCTACGACCCGGACGGGCTGGCCGTGCCCGCGGGCAGCACCCGGGCCCGCAACGGGACCCGCCCGTGCCGCTGCCCGGCCCTGGGCGGCGAGCTGGAGTGCGGCGAGCCCGGGCAGTGATGCTCCGCTGGCTCCTCTCCGGCTGCTCAAATCGTCCTGGGAACTGCGGCATCCCCTCAGAGCCTTTGGCACGAATGATGGGCTCTGTCTTCGCAAGCTGTGGGTCTTCTGGTGGGTAAAACTAGCACTGAGAGATAAAAGAACGGGAAGGATTCTACTCGTTCGGATTCCTGAATGGAAGAAGATGTTTTGCTTTTACTAATAAATTTTGAGTTGGCTGATAAATGAAATTCTTTTACCTTTCAGAGCCCAATGAGAAGGATTCCACTTGTTTGGATTCCTGAATGCAAGAAGAAATTTTGCTTTTACAAATAAAGTTTAGGTGGGCTGATAAATGAAATTGGACTCTGAAAGGTAAAAGAAACAATGGGAAAGATTCCACTTGTTTGGATTCCTGAATGGAAGAAGATATTTTGCTTTTACTAATAAATTTTAGGCTGGTTGATGAATGAAATTGGTCTCTGAAAGGTAAAAGAAACAATGGGAAAGACTCTACTTTTTTGGATTTCTGAATGGAAAAAAGATATTTTGCTTTCACTAATAAATTTTGGGTTGGCTGATAAATGAAATTGTTTCTTTTACCTTTCAGAGCCAAATGGGAAGGATTCCACTTGTTTGGATTCCTGAATGCAAGAAGATATTTTGCTTTTACAAATAAAGTTTAGGTGGGCTGATAAATGAAATTTGACTCTGAAAGAGTGGAAAGGATTCTACTTGTTTGGATCCCTGAATGCAAAAAGATATTTTGCTTTTACAAATAAAGTTTAGGTGGGCTGATAAATGAAATTGGACTCTGAAAGGTAAAAGAAACAATGGGAAAGATTCCACTTGTTTGGATTCCTGAATGGAAGAAGATATTTTGCTTTTACTAATAAAGTTTAGGCGAGCTGATAAATGAAATTGGACTCTCTGCAAGGTAAAAGAAACAATGGGAAGGATTCCACTTGCTTGGATTCCTGAATGCAAGAACATATTTTGCTTTTACTAATAAGCTTTAGGTGGGCTGATAAATAAAATTGGACTCTGAAAGGTAAAAGTAACAATGGGAAAGACTCTACTTGTTTGGATTCCTGAATGGAAAAAAAAAGATATTTTGCTTTTACAAATAAACTGTAGGTTGGATGATAAATGAAATTGGATATTGGTTTTGGATTCCTGAATGGAAAAAGATATTTTGCTTTTACAAATAAAGTTTAGGCGAGCTGATAAATGAAATTGGATGTTGAAAGGTGAAAGAAACAATGGGGGAAAACCCTAAGTTCCATAAGAATTAAAAACTAACCGGGAGGGTTAAGCATTAGAGGGAAATCTCTGGTATCAGGTATTTTGGGAAGTCTGTGCCTCTCAAGTACCTCAGCCAGTGGGGAAAGAGAGAAGGGAAATGAGGCCAGGAAATTGGGATAAAAAAGGAGGCTGCATCCTCCAAAAATGTGAGAGACCCCAGGGCAATGCCCCATGGCCTCTCCCTTTATTCAAATAAAGTAAAAGGACTCCTCTGTCTCCTTTTTGGACCTTTGAACAGTTTCAAAGGGTCCCTGAGGACTTGGGGGTTGCTCCCCTCTGGAAAGGGGGGATGCCACGTTCTCTGTCATTTATAAACCAGGGCAAAGTGTCTGCAGGGGCTGAGCTTGCTTGCTTGTGAGGTTTGCTCCACGGGTACAACTGGAGCAAACACAGCAGTTTATTTATTTGGAAGGTGATTCTGCTTTTGTATGTGTTTGTGTTTATATAGGCTGTTTGTATTAAACTCGCTGGATGAACTTCCTCCCAGGAGCCAGGCTTTTTATTCCTGTAATTCCATCGGGTTCCAAGTGGTGGGACCACGATCAGAAGGCTGGCTGACCCCTTCTCTCCAGTCTTTTGAGGAGTTGGTGGGCTAGCACAGCTCTGTGTTCTTAGGAGGCAAAGCCCTCTCCTGTCTCCACCCCCCAGAGCAAAGCCCTGGCTCCCATGGGGATGGTGGCACTCAAGGCTCTGTCCTTCACAGCCACCTTGATCCTGCCCAGGGCCGACCCCACTGCCAGTCCCAGTTCTGCAGGAATGCCCCAAAATGTGTCTCCGTGACTGTGCCCTCTGGGATGGACGTGGGATACAGGAGAACTGCATCTTCTGAATGCTTTGACATATATAAATACACACACACACATCTATCTCTATATATAAACACCACAGCTTCATCAGGCTGCGTTATTAACACATGTTAATTGTTTAAGGATTGAATAAAAGCATTGTTACCAATGAACTTTTGAACTTTTACTGATAAGGACACATCTACTTTCTTCTTGTATTGTCCAGTGCTACTTGGGCCTCACAAGGCTCTCTCCAACCACCTCGGCTCCAGGTGCACCTGGACACATGAAATTGGTCCCCCGGGTTATCTTTCTTATTTTCTGCTCTGTCTGATGCTGTTTGACAAAAAAAAAAAAAAAAACCAACAACAACAAAAAACACCCACAAAACAAACAAACAAAAAAACCACCCCAAAAATCCCCACAAAACCAGTGAGCAGGTGTGATTCAAGTGGAGGGTGAGGAAAAGGTTGGAAGAAGCAGGTGAATTTGGTTTTTGGGATGCAGCAGGGATCTCCATCCATTGAGGAAGGGACCTTAAGGATTATCCAGTTCCAGCTCCCCTGCCATGGGCAGGGACACCTTTCATTGTCCCAGGTTCCTCAGAGCTCCATCCAGCCTGGCCTTGGACACTTCCAGGGGCAGCCACAGCTTCTCTGGGCAACCTGTGCCAGTTCACCACCCTCATAGTGAAGAATTTTTTCCCATATATCTAACCTAAGTTTCCCTTCTTTCAGTTTGGAGCCATTCCCCCTTGTCCTGTCATGCCAGACCCTTGGAAATTCTCTCTCTCCATGTTTTTGTAGGCCCCTTCAGGTACTGGAAGGCCACAAGGAGGTCACCCCAAAGCCTTCTCTGGGCTCAACAATCCCAATTCTCTCAGCCTTTCCTCACAGGACAGCTCCATGCTTCTGTTTCAGGGAAGGGGGATTGACCTGACAACACTTCACCCTCTGCTCTTCCCCATTCAGTGTAAAAATCTTATTTTTTAGTGAGGTTAAAGCTCATTGTTCACCTTCCAGACAGACACCAGACATCCCACCGTGTTTGCCAGCAGCACAAGAGATCCTTCCCATGACAGTTTTTTAATTACCTGCTGTGCAGGTGTTGACAAATTGCTGAAGGAACCCACATCCTGTGTGCCCTTCAGAGGTGAGGCTGTTTGAGTCCCTGGGCTTGGCTCCCTTTGGTGTCTGCCAAGAATTTCAGGAGATCAGGAGCAGTTTGCAAGGGCAGCGATGGGTTTTGCAAGCACAGGGATTATCCAGAGGGAGTCACGAGGGATTTGGGAGGGCTCCTCACTGCCTGGGGAGGGGGGTGGGCTGCTGGGGTTGTTTATCCTTTGTCACACATCTTATCTGTCTCAGGGCTCCCTGCTTTGTGTGACTGATAACCTTGGAGCAGGGGGGGATGACCGACAGATGGGCAGCCCCTGCATAATGTTGGGATTGTCTGCTGTAGCCAGCGTCAGCAGGGGAACAGTGAAAGAGTTATTGTCCAAATATCTCTGCAAAAAAGGTCCCTGTCGGCTCCTTTGCAAGCTGCTCCTTGGAGGTGCTGCAGAGTTTCTCTGCTCTGCCCCCACCTCTGATGTGAAATACCTTCTGTCTCCAGGATCTCTGCATTTCATCTCATGGAAAGCAGGAGCTGCATTATTTTACTTTTACCATGAGCAGCGCAGGGAGAAAATGAAAAACTTGCAATGATCAGTTGTCAGAATTCAGTCAGAATTTATTCACTTAAACTGAATGTCCTGGGGTTTGGCATGCTCTGTTTGAATGGGTGTTCTCCTGGATTCTCCAGTATTAATCACCCATGTGCCTCTCTGCAATCTGGACACGGTATTGCTGGTGTTATTTGTATTTTTCCAGGTCAGATTTTCCCCAGTCTGGGCAGGGGTACAGTTTTGTGGCAATTCCTTCACGTGGTCACTGTCACTTTGCATCACAGCCAGGCAGGTGTTTGCAGGGAAGGACTGTAAATGTTTCTCAAGAGCAAAGCAACACACAAACTCCTGTGCATCCCTAAGTGAGCCCTGAGAACTGAAGCCAAAGCTGAAATTTGCAGCTCCCAAAAAGAGCCCATTTTGCACATAGAGCAATCAAGTTTGGGGGTTTTTTTTTGTACAGGATCATTACTGATCTTTAGTTAGTTGTGGAAAGGACTGGGCCTTTCTTCATGGTGTTAATCATAAAATGATTGATTTAAATAGACCCTGAGTCCTTTTACGAGCCCTCTCAGTTCCTGCCTCATGGGGCTGTAAAACATTAAAATATTCATGAATGAAAGCCCATCAGGAGGCTTCCTTTGGGCACAACTATGACAAGAAGTTGAAGTGTTTGCCCAAGTCCTTCTGCCTTTTCCAGCAGCCTGCCAGAAGTGAATTCCTCAGGAGTGGTTCACCAAACAGCCTGAGCACCCCAGACTACATTTGCAGAGCCCAGGGTGGGGGGCTGGCTGCTTGCCATTTGTTTTTTTTTTTCCTAGTTGTTATGCTCTTAAGTGATCAGAAATCTTGATCCATGGCAGGTTCTGCACTGGTGATTTCTGATCAGGATGAGAACAGAAGTTTCCTGGAGGAACCCCTGATTAAATTAGAACACAGTCACTCCCTGTTGGTAAGGGACTGAGCACATCCCCCTAGAAGTAATTTCTCTTTGAAATTTGGGGCGAGGGAGAGAGGTAACATTTGACACTTTTTAATGTGTTCATTATAGGAAATTTTAAGCTGCCCTGACATATCAAAGGTGCAGTGCATTTGTTAACAGCAAATGGCACAAGGATGGGAGACACACACACAAGTGTATTTGGGTTTTTATGATTTAATAGGGAGTGCTCTGGGCTGGGGACAAAGTGGGGATTGGTGAAAGGTTGGGCTTCATGATCTTGGAGGTCTTTTCAACTTAATTGATTCTGTTCTATGATTTAACTTCAACATCGTGCACCTACTCTAAAACCAGCTTTTTTTTTTTTTTTTTTTTTTTAAATAATTCCAATACTGCATCCATAGCAGCACCCACAGCTCAGTTCTCCAAGGCTGTTGGGCTTTTTCCAGCAGCTGGCTTTGAATCCTGGAGTGATTTGCAGAGTCATTATTCATGGCTATTCACAGTTCAGAAGTTCAAGAGACACAAAAAACCAGTCCAGGATATGTAATCAAAGATTAATTGTTGCCAGTTTCCAAAGAAAGGAAGGGAGAAGCAAAAAAAAAAAAAAAAAAAAAAAAAAAAAAAAAAGAGAGAGAAAAACACAAAAAACCCCCCAAAACAAAACAA